CAGTATTTGGAAAAGTATTTTCAAGCCCGTTTAACTAAAAGATACCACTATAAATAAACGCTGCTTGTGCAATGAGCCAGCGAGAACCATACCGATCAGTTAAACTGAAGCTCATGAATCCTGCACAGCATGTTGTCCAATGTTTATAATCTGTGTAGTCTATACCATGGCGATGTTTGCCACTTCAGCGCTCTACAAGTCTCCAGCAGAGTTCCGGCTCTATTCGGAACAGCTCACGTATTTTTCCGGCCTTCGATAAACCAGACAGGCGGCGCCCAGCCACGGTCTATAACAGTCCAATAACATTCTGTTCAAACAACTGGCAGTGAGCGGGGCGCACGCAGCCGGCCGCTGGCAGGATCGATGTCGACGAAACGCCGACGGTCAGCAACGCGAACAACAGCTGCGCGAGCACCGACACAACCCAGCCGTCGAGAGTCGACGTCGCATTCACGAGCGTTGAAGACCCCTCCTACTTGACACGCCTCTCCTTTTCGACCAGCGTCGACAAGAGCACCCGCATCCTATCCGCAGCTGGCGCTTTGATCCCGTTGTGCCCTGGATGACCCGTCGCAGGTGGAACGGCGACGGCTCAAAGGCGGCGCTGACCGATGCACGCTTTGATGCGCGAACTAGAGCTGCGCGATGCCCCGCGGGAGTCCTTTCATCCTTCATCGGAGGGTGAGGAGATCCCAGCGGGTGTCGGCCAGATCCCGCGCGCCAACAGCTCTAATCCGCCGAGAAAGACCCCGACGGAGTCGTCAGCGCTCCCCGGGGGAGCCGGGGAGCCGCCGTCTCCGGGGAGCCTGCGTGTCCGGCCGCCGGGAGCTACGGGAGCCGCAAGGAGCCGCGGCCGCGCCTCCCCCGCGCCGTGCGTCGATACCGCCGACCGCAGAACAATGCCCGCCTGATTGGAAAACGAGAGTGAGGCGAATGGCGCCGCTCGAGCGCATAATTACCGGCGATGGACCGGCGAAAAACCAGCTCTGGCCGAGCGCTGGACGCTGGCCGGGCATTCCAGCGCTGGGCCGGCATCATGGACCATCATCTCGCAAACCTAGAACGGTGACCGACCAGCAAGGAATATCGGAAATGGCCTCAGCAGATGGAAGGGTGGCTGCTGGCACTAGATATGATAAAGTTCGACGGAAACTTACCCAATAGTTTGAAACATTTCACTTTCCATTTCGCCCAATGAAAGAAGATCAGAAATAATCTCGCTAATTAGACAGTATGCAAAGAATGTATGCAATAACTGTCTTGTAATAGCGATAATTTCAATCTCCCTATTAATTTCACAGGAACAATGCGAATCAGACATGCATAAAGTTCTTGCCTATTTTTCCACCTTGCTCAATAGCGTTTCGCACCGGCCTCGGGCCTCGGGGCGGCAGGTGGGAGCCAGGAGGGTGAAGAGGCGTCCGGCCGTCCCTTCCGCGGGAAGTTGGTCATCCGATGCCCACGCCAAGGAAGCCGCTGGGTGCTGACGGGCGGCGACCCGACCCCGTGTGTCTGGAGCGACGTCCGGTGGCATCGACCTGTGTTCAGTGCACCCGTCCTCAGGACCCCGAATTCACTCCCTCGCTCCCTGGGGTCCACAGACTCAGGTGACGCTGCTCTCAGCAGACTCAGGTGAACCTCCTGAGTTCCTGACACCTGCCGTCTCGGTCACACGGTCAACCACAGATCCCAGCAGTCGGGCCTCAAGTTACCTGCCCGCGGTGCTACTTGCACGCTAACCATGGGAGACAACGCCGAATCCATGAGAGTCGCGTTACAGTTTCCGTGTCCTTGTGCCTTTCTTCTCACCAGACCCACCGGAGGCGCCGCGTCCGGCCGAAGGACCCAGTCGAGAATAATGGACGACCATGAACCGAGCTATGTCCGGCAGACAAGGACCTCGGGCTGGGGCCAGAAGTGTGGCAGTTTTCATAGAGCAAAACAACAGCAAATGTGACACTACTTATAGAAGTTAAAGCCCGAGGTATCGCACAATCGAGCACACTGATTGCGTCCACCACCATCTGCCGCGAGTCACGCTCTAACGTTACACATCACGGATCGCCAGGCACCGTGTGACAGTCATAACTCGGAAATCCGTTACCCGGTTCCGTTCGTCATCCAAAAGCCACAGTCGCTAATCGCTATATATGGCCGCGTTTGTGATATATGGAATATATTATGCATGCTCATTGCTCACGGTATTATTACAACAAAATAAATCGCTATATTAGGCCGTCTTATGAAATGTGCATTGTGCATGAGAAGCAGCATATGTATGCCGTTATCAGCACAACACCGAAAACTCTTGTTTCAGTGAAAAAAAAAACAGAAGCCGCGAATTTTCATGCGAATTGCAAGCTTCCTCCAACGCGGTCGAAAGTTTTCCGAAAGCGAGCCTGGCAGAAGCTCGTTGAAACTATGTTGTAAACCGGTATCTGGACAATATCACGGTACGACATCAGGAGCTGAACGTGAACATGGAATGCATAATGAGACGTTTACTGACTCATGACCCAGTATGGCAAGCTGCACTGACAGGGACTCGGTGGCTCGCTGCTGCACTGCACGTGCCAGGAGAGGGTGCCACACGACAGCCATTGTGTCACTCCGATCTACGCCGAATCCTCACCGGGCCAAGGCGAGTGCCAGACACGCCGAATTCATATCATTAGCATACAACGTAAAGTCGCAACACATGGCGCAACTGTCAAAACCTCACTCCAGACATCAGTCAGTCAAGAGGTCTGCATTAATCGCACGTCCAGAGATGTTATAGAGCTTTCACGTGTTGTCACTGGAGGGCAGGGCAATCGCATGAACGGGATTAGTAAGCATCTGAGGGTCAATGCTCGAACGGGTGAGGGCATGCCTGTCATTCTCAGCGGGTACCGAACATGGCTGGAGCCTGTCACGTACGGAGGGAGCCTGTCCAGAGACGACCGAGTTCCGAGCCATCCATCAGAGCGGCCTTTAAAGAGCTCATCTGTCATCTCTGAGAATGGTTTGTCTGGGCGGCCTGTCCATCGTCTGGGCGCTTCTTGTGTGCGTGAGATAGCGCACGTCTCACAACAAAGCAGTGAGTGAGCGCGCCTGCGTGGGAGGTTTGTCTCCGGCTCTGCTTCGGCACTTAGCCAGCGGAGTTGACGGGCCGCGCAGAGCCGAGGGTAGCGGCGGGCCAACAGAACTGGAAACGCACACGCACACAAACACACAGCGAGCGCTCGGGCCGCCCACGCCAGCAGGCGGACGGGCGATGTGTTTGTTTGCTCTGAGAGCGGTCGACGGTCCGGCCCACGAGGGTCCGTTCCTCGTCCCGCTGCGCCACATAGACTCAGGGCCAGCCACCCCTCGCAGCGCACACGCACCTGCTCCTTGGATAACTCTGCTCTTTGGAGATATGGGACCGCTAGTCGCGGGTTCCATGACAGGAGTCACCTTCAGCTTCACCGTCTGACGATGGACAATCAGGGCACTGCGCCGCTCCGCTCCCCAACCAGTTGTTCAGCCGGTCCTGGCACGTCCGCCAGCGCTTCCTTGACGACGTACAAAGTCTGTCCCCACCTGAATCGCCCCACCCACAGTCTGGACGACAGCCCGCTCCCCGCTGGCTCAAAGGCTCCTTCAGCAATTACGTCGGCCGTTCGCCGGCGACCAACAATGACCGGCGCCATAGCACCTGCCAAAAGCGGCTGCTGCACCCTCCCCGGCCCGGCCAGACGGGTCTTTAACTCCGGCTCCGTGACCAGCGGCTGGAGCAGCACCTGCCGCGATCCTCCACTGCTCTGCCGCTCATCCGCTCCTCTCTCCGCACCCTCCCTGACCGCGGGCGCTGCCCGTCCACCCCACCTCTCGCTAGCAGCTCCACGACCCGGGCATGACCTTTTCAGTCCGCAGCATAAAGCCCTGAATCAACTCGCGGTATCCAAAGCGGCGGAAACGCAGCTTCAGCACGCATCTGCGCGCGTCACTACCACTCGAAAATTCCCCTTCTCGGACCGGGCTGGTCTGAACCCGCCGAGTCGGCCGGCGGCAGTGGCCGGCCTTGGCACCTCTGCAAAACGAGTCTGCCAGCAGCCGGGCGCCGGCCGGGCCGAGCCGTAAAAATCCACAGATCTGACGGCCGATGTGTGGCAACCATAAGTCTCCGGGTACTCGTGGTTTCAGGGGCGTTCGGTGGTCGCGCCGGCGGTGGCAGCAGTTGCAGTGGCAGACGCGATCAGATGAGCGATCGCCCCAATTGACCTGATACGTGACTATGGGTCATCAGGCTTCAGGGGTTTTAACAGGAGCGGTAACGGGGGCACAGAACACGCCCTGTGAATCGATGGCAAGTTTGCGACATGCAGAAATTCAGATACCTATCAGTGATTCAATCACATCTACCCCGCGCCTTTGTGACGTGGCTGGAGATCCGGTGCGATTCTCAAAAACATCTACCGATTCGTCAACACCATGGCTCAATACCCTGCAAGCCAAAGGGGTCGCATTCTTTTAAACCGGTCTTTCGTTTGTTCCTCCCACATTCCTCCCGGCGGCGCGAGCGCTCAAACAGGTCCCTGCATGTTGACGATTGCACCACCCCGCCATTCAAACCCGGTCTACTCTTCACCACTCATTCCGTATCCTCGTCCAGATCAGGACGACAAAGTCTCCCCGCGTCGCCAACCCCCACCGTGGCGGTCATGCCTTCCGCGCCGCTGCCGCCGCCGTGGTAGACGCGTGACGAACATAATAAACAGCCGACAAAGCCGCCTGGTGCCCGGCATTCGGCGGACATCTGCATCAGGCACTCGTCAGAGCGGATACCGGAGGCGACGCATCGCGGCCGCACTGTCGGCGCGCCGCCGCGTGCGAAGCCGGCACTTGGCGTAAAAAGGCGCCGGAATGCTGGCGCGTCCGGTCGACGCTCGCGGTGCGGTGCGCCGGGGCGCTGACCGGCTCCGCGGCATCCCCCGCGGCGGCGCCCGCCGCAAACCGCCCTCATCCTACCCACTTACCTTCTCTTTGTTGTGCGGCTTGGTGATGCGGCTCTTGGGGATGATTTTGCCGGCATACACCTTGTTGTTGGTGAGATCAGTGAGCTCGTGGACCCTGGCAAAGCCGCCCTGAAACACACAGAGAAAACACCATTAGATCGAGTAAACACCACGCCGCTCAGTAAGCCGACACCCGCGGGCGACACAGACGCGGCGGCCGCCGGACGACAAAGGGATGGTTGTGTTATGTTGTGCGGGGGCGTCACTGGCCGCGGGCAATCATCTCCGCTGCGATCAGGTGGTCGGCGGGCGGTGGTCAGTCGGAGGTGGACTATCTGCGAGGTCATCTGGCCCTGGGCTGCGGCGGCACCTCACACGCCGGTGGAGCGCCCGCCAATCGGCCGCAGTGAACGAGTTCCCTGGGGCCGGTCTGTACCACCGCCGAGGGAACGGGTAAACGGTGAGCGGCGCGGCTAGCAGCGGCGAGCGGCGGCTCCGGACATGCCAGGGCCCAAGGCCGGGGGCGGCGGCAGCCGGCCGGCAGTAGTCTCCGGCGCCGCCAGCAGCCGCTCGTCCGTCATGGCCCACGCTGGACGGAGCTCGGTGACCGGCCGATAGTGTCGCTCAGCAGGCCCTGGCCCGCGCCGAACCCGTGTCTGGCCCGCGCCCAGTCGCCGCCGGGTCGCGACAAAAACCCGCGCGGCGACCGCCCGCGGCTCGCGCGCTGTTCCCACGCCACCCGCGCCGCCTGCGCCACCACTGTCGACGGCGGCAGAGGCGGCGGGATGGCGCTCGGGCGGCGGAAGCAGTGCATGGACCGTTGAGCGGCGGGCGTAACCGTCACGACATCGCCGGTCGATGACAAACGGTCCACCGGCTGACCGCCGCGCTCGACTGCGCCGATTCGACTCGATTCGAATCGAGCCGCCGCCGGCCCATCCACGCCAGCGTGGTCGTGACGCCGGACGCCGCTTCAATACGGCGCCTGATCACCATGAAAAGGGCTCGGCCTCGACTACTGCCTCCGCCGCCGCTGCCGCCGCCACGGTTCAAATTAACTCCGGCCAGGATTGATGCTGCCTGTCGCTGCCGGAGACCACGCGAGCACGATCCAGCGATCGGACGCCTTCGCGGCAGCCGGCGTGTTAATTGGCTCGCCCCAGCCCTGTGCTGTCGACCTATGTTGCTATGTCGCGGGCGGGCGGCCGAGATGCCCGTAGGCATTAGGCTACCCATGACGAGCATGGTCCCCCTCCCCCCCCCCCCCCCCAAGACACTAACAGTGACCGGGTCTGATCATATGGCGGCTAGCAGCTGTTGCGGATCTCCAAAGAGGCGAGATGGGGACCTCTGACGCAGGTCACACCTGCCGCCATTGCGCACCTTTTGTCTCGGTAATTATAGTGGCGGGATGATCGCGGCGCGTAATACGCCTCCTTTTCAGCCGGTGTTCACACCACATCCGGTGATCAAGTCATTAAATCAAACCCCAAAGCCAGGTACACAGACCCTTCTACTTGGGCCCGAAGGGGCGGGACAAAAACAAGGGCTATTGGAGGTGAGTTGGCAACCCAAACACGTATCCACACGCCCTATCAATACGCTGTGATTTCAACAGTTTATGACCCACACGACCACTAGTTTAACTGCCATCATGCATCATGCATTCGCGTTCAACTATCAAAGTGATCCGAGCTGCCGTTGTGAAACTTAAACAGCCACCGTTCGCTTACAAAATCACCCTTCCGTACAACATAATCCTTACCGAGATACAATCAACCAACACAGCGGAGGTCACGCACGCAACATCGAGCGTGCATCCCGCCTTTACCGACTGCCATCATCTATCATAACCTGCGCGATGTCCTCCTCGCCCTCGCGGCTCGCGGTCTGTGACCTCGCTCGGTCTCCTATCCTCCTCCATCTCGCTCCCTATCTCCTCCATCCCTCTCCATCCCTCCCCGTTCCACCGCAACCACCGACCGTCGGGCACATAGACGCGCGTGCAGGGCCACCTCGACATACCTCTGGCCCGCCCGACCGGGCACAAACATCCCTGGCGTCCGGTCGGGACGGCCGGCGCCGACTAATAGCGCATTCTCAACTCGCCCGGTATGAATATGGATGAACAATTAGCGGGCGCCCGCACGTCGAATGTAGATATGTGCGTTGAACGGTTCGGCGTTTGAAGAGGTTCGATGATGAATGGGAGTTAAATCAGGCAGTGACTATTGTCCAGGTTTCTTTCAACTGATTAGTTGATTTGGAGGAGTGATCACTAACTCATCACACTGATTTTACAATCATTGGCAGCACTTCCTTGCATCATCATCATCATCGCCCACATCATCACCATCATGTCGCCATCCCCGACACAGTAGCAGACATCACCGGGGCAGCGGAGCATGATGCCACATCAGCAGTGGCGCGCTGAGTTGCAAATCTGCCGCTCCACTGGGCACACAGGGGAACGCCAAATGGACAGCGGGCGGGCCACGGAGCTCCGCCGACCCAGAGAAGGTCCCAAGTCAGGCCTGGCCGCCCGCCTACAATGCTTGGCCGCCCTCCACCTTCTGAACTCCCCGCTTCATACCAAAGGCAGTGACGTCAGACAGGCGGATGACAGAAGAAATGGAGTCTACTTTCCTCCGCCCGACTCGCGAGCACACGCCACACGCGCCGCACAGATGAAAGCCGAAGATTGGCCTCTCACGGAAAGCGTTCGCTTGTTTGACGTTAGCAGACAGTACGTTCCTCTTGTCTTACGCTCACGACTTTCGCCGGTCTGTGTGGCTGACACGCGAGGCAAGTCAACGGATACCCACGCGCAATCGAACGGAAGGAAACCCACGCACAGTCGTTCACAATCAGCCCGACAGTCGATTATTATCGCCGACAGGCGATTATCGTTCAGTAATCTCTGAAGGTGCAACCCGATCCCCAAGATCAGCGCGCCCTCACCGAAGATCGCACGTTTGTCTTTAGCACGATGCGTCAATCAGCAATCACGTTTGCATCGAAGAACAACAGGTCACCTTACATCAGCTCAGCGTGGCTCGATAAGCCCCAGTCCGGCTCGCTTCGCCTCCGCTCGGCTCAGGTTAGCTCGAATCGACTTGGCTCAAATCCGTTCCAGATCGGTACGGGCCACGTCGGATTGAGAGGCGTTATATCCGGCCACGCGGCACGCCGGTGCTGACCGCTCGGCACGGGGCACGCGAGCGGCGGGGTCAGAGCCCCCGGCGTGGCGTCCCAGTCACGACTGACTCGCCGCCCAGACGGCCTATCACGACCGGGGCCGGCCGGGAGAGGAGCAGGGGAGCGGGCCGCAGCTTACCCGGGGAGGTGCCGAGCTTACCAGGGTGGATTCCAAGTATGGTCATCAGTCGCTTCTCACAAACCTGGCATCCAAACTCCACGGCCACCGAAAGCTGGCCTTGAAATTCACAGGAATATTTCTTTAGAGGAATTTGTAATAATGGACACATCGGCAGTTCATTATCGTTTTATGACCACGTTTTAGGCATGGGTGGAGAACCTACCCCGGCCACCCCGGCCGTGGCCGGGGTAACTTTCAGCCAACCCCGGCGCGGCCGGGGTAACTTTTTCACTCTTATAAATCCTAAAACCTGTCTCCAGCCGAGAAAAAGCTGAGTGCTGCCTACAAAAGTGTCTCTCTTTACACTTAACTACCTCTTAAAGTTTTTGAAGATCTATTTATTTTGAGTTTGGGACTTCTGGGCAAATATTTTCATCGCTGAGCCCGATAAGTTTGATCAACATGCAACATAAAACGATATTCAATGGTCGCTATCGTAAGATCACCTTACAATAATATCACAAAAGAAAACAGGTCTAGGGTAATATCAGTGAGACAAAATGGGTAGCATCGAAGAAGATCTGCGGGGCTTAAGGCTCCCCCAACTAAACTGGCACCAGGATGGGGGCGCTATCGAAAACGTTGAGGTGGGAGGTAGAGTAGGCGTTATACGCCCTTTTAAACTCGGCTGCTGGGCTGCGTGGCGGGGAGTGGCAACGCCGTTTGAAAGAGCGCTAAACATAATAAGAGAATTTTCGTCATATTTTAGGCTAGCACAAAAATAAAACCACCACAGGACATTAAAGTCAAATTTTCCCTTTTATAGCGCGCTTTGACAGCTTTTCTTCCAGCTTGTGATTTAGAGGACCTAGAACACTGCAAACAAAACATTTGATAGCTTTTTTTAGGACTCGCTCGCGAGTAACATTTCAGGTGAACATGAAAACCAATCGTTTGTCTTCAAGAGGGCCACAACTCAAAATTAACATTTTTGTGTGGAAAAAAGTTTCGTCTTTCTAGGAAATACCCAAGCTCTGCAAATGACATGAACGCAGACTTTTAAAGCATGATTATCTAGCAAATTCGACCAGTGATGTCCTGACCCTAGGTGACCTGGGAGCGAAATTCAGAACCACGATGCGAAACTGATTTATTATAACCTTAACTGAATTTCACACAAATGCTTGCCGCGGTTTCACCTACACACGTAAAATCATCTGGGGACTAAGGCTAGCAACGCCTCCGGCCCCCAACACTATCGTGAAACTTAGTGAAATGAGACGAGTTCACTTGATGTGACCTGTTGGCCTGACTTGAATGAGCTGAGTTAGGATAAAATGTTTATCCTTTAGCAAACACAACATCCATTATTACATTAAACGGAGAATGGGTTTGTTGATAACCGTTTACAAATACTATTGAGCATGTCGTCTTTCCCATGACTACCAGTCGCCGGCCGGGGTAACTTTTTCAAACATTCTCCACCCATGGTTTTAGGGATTTTTCACTCATGCCTTGCATTGTGATGGGCTCTGGCATCCATTCTATTGTATGTAGATGCACCGATCATATCGTGCAAAAACTGTCGAATCTTGCAGCAGCAACAAGTGACTGTCGCCAATCTGACGACTACACAAGAGTCCTGCACAGGCGACGTGTCTCCCTGCCGTCTTCTTTTGTGTTACATTCCGTTTCCGTTTCCACTCCGTCTCCGTGCAGCAAAACAGCCAGATTATGATCAGTGCTGTCGCTGCTCCAGACAGCCGCACGGCGGAACGGGGGGTCCGGTCGTCAACGCACCAACGCTTCA